TACGCTATAACTCATGAACAATTTGCCAGATTGAAACCAAAGTTGGCATACAACATCCCTTCAATAAGATGATTATGTGTTCATAAAAATATTTCCCATGATTTAAGTGGTTTTAACGACCATCTTGACTTTATTAAAATAAAGCAAAAAAACTCAAAAAATTATCTTCTTAAAAATTGCTTGCTTGTTTGACAAGCAATTTAGCATATAGTATCACTGTTGATAGCTCTACAAAGTTACTGAAGCAGATTTTCGAAAAATGGCTTCCTTTGGCAGCCATCTTGGATTTAGTAAAAGAGAAAAAGTTCTATAACTCATGAACTATTTGCCAGACTGATACAAAATTCGGTATTTGGAATCCTTTCATTAAGTTTATCATATTCCTGTGAAATAAAATCCATATATTGTGTAGTTTGTCTGCCATCTTGCATTCAGACATGAAACGTTCGTCAAATAATCACATCAAGCAAGTGCAATTTGCCATGAGCCACGCAGGCTCGAAACCCGTCATCGCTGCTATGCAGCTATATTTTTTATTATTTATTATTAATATATTTTGCAGCAAACAACTTTAATCTCATGAAAGATGCATTATTATTAGTCAAAGAAAAATCATAAAATTTAAACAGTGAAACTTTGAACAAACATATCTAGCGAGGAAAACAGTTGGATTCAGACTAGGTACTATTGCTGGGTTAAATCTTTTTAGTCCCTGTTCGGACGAAGTCCAAAAACGGGGACTATTAATTTTGATTCCGTCCGTTTGTCCATCTATCCGTCCAGAGCCATTTCTTGGACACCCTTTGACCGATCTCATTCAAACTTGGCATACAGACAGTATATGATGAGCTACATATGCACGCCAATTTTCGTTATCATTCGATTAAATATGGCTGACTGGTAGTCATTTTGTCCTTCAAATTTGCTAAATTCTGATATTTAAACGTGTCCGGAACTGTTTCTCGTGGCTGAACAAGGTGATTTCAATCAAACTTTGTATGGTGATCATGCATAAGATACGGCCTGATTCAGTTCAAAGTCTGTACATAGGTACTACTTCAAGATTACACCACCCATGTTTTGTTTTGAAATTTGATAAAATTTGTCGAAATTGCAGCCATTTTGTTTAATATCTTAAAATCAGTGTCCGGAACTGTTCCCGGAGCTGAACAGAGTGATTTCAATCAAACTTAGTATGGTAATCATGCATATTGGGTTATAGGTGCACGTTACTTTTTTTTGAGATTCGGTCCAAGATGGCCGACTGGTGGCCATTTTGTTTTGTTTTCGTTTTGTGCTGATTTCTCCATAAGCTAGGGCCTGATTCAGTTCAAAGTTTTTACATAGGTGCTATATTTCAAGATAACAGAACACCATGTCGGCCATTTTGTAAAAAAAAACGTAAAAAATATCATTCTGTAACATGTCCAGAACTGTTTCTTGGAGCTGAATAGGGCGATATGGCCTGATTCAGTTCAAAGTTGAATAGGGCATTTTCAATCAAACTTTGTATGTTGACCTTACATATTAGGATACGGTGCAAGCCATATTTCTTTTGGAGATACTTGAACAACAATACCCGACTGGCTGCGTTTTTTTTTTCATGGTATTTCCTGTGTAAGATATAGTCCAATTCAGTTCAAAGTTTCCACGTAGGTACTATACTGACAGTAACACAATCTATAATCTGTGTTAGTGTTAAAAAAACATTGATCTTTCATTTCTACATGTCACTTGTACTCAACATTTACATCAACTACAGCTAATACTTAACGGGGACTATGCATTATCAATGCTTGTTGTTTTTGATTTGTGGTGATTGTCATATGGAAATGGCCACTTTTATTGCTAGCTGCCAAGATTTAATGTCCAATCCTGAAGGCATATAAATTACAGTTACAAATGAAACCTGCTTTATAAATTTAATTTTTGATTATTAGCAGTACTTTTATTTGCAAACTTGAGTAAAATGTGTTTCTCTGTAATTTTGAGTAGTGACTTCATTGATATGATGAGTGTCACTTCTCATAGCACCTCTTGATAAATGGTAATTGTACAACATATGACTGAAATGAACATTAGCATGACCCCCTATGTTTTGATTGACAGTCCCAATTAGTGGACAATCATATTATCACTGTCTGCCTGAATGATGGTAATTCTCAGGCTACTGTTATTGTGTTAACATAAGAATTATATCACTCACTGTATGCTCTCTATTGCAGAAAATTCTGCTATGTGTAAAAAGAGAATATTTTGCCATCACTTTACTAAAAGCTGCAATAGAGTTGTAATTATTTAGTCTGAATAGAAAATGGATTAAAATAAATACATTGCTTCATCAATGGAAAAGACAAAAACTGACTATGCATGCATGGACTTAATAACACTCAGTTATTTTATTACCTTCATATAATTTACCACACACAGTAAACCTAACAGATGATTTCTAAATTGACTACTTTAACATGCCAGGTGCTAACAAAATAATTTTTATGTAATTACAAATCTACATCAAATAATTCTTTGCAATGATAGTGAAATATGATGTTTAAAATATTATCATGTTGGACAGACATATACATGGTCTTTGTTTTAATTTAACTATTAATGTTGTGTTTAATATTAGACCTTAATTTTATCATTCCTGTTATTCATACACACAATTAAGTTAATTAACTATTTCAATCAATATATTATTGCTGTCATATGGTCATCTATCATTTTTCCTGCAATGATAGTGAAATATGATGTTTAAAATATTATCATGTTGGACAGACATATACATAGTCTTTGTTTTAATTTAACTATTAATGTTGTGTTTAATATTAGACCTTAATTTTATCATTCCTGTTATTCATACACACAATTAAGTTAATTAACTATTTCAATCAATATATTATTGCTGTCATATGGTCATCTATCATTTTTCCTGTTGATTGAGTAGATTAATGTACTATGGATAATTTTATTAATTCAATAATTCTTCGTTGTGTTCAATACTTTAACATTTTAACTTTAGAAAGTTTATTATAATGACTTTTGACTCATCTCTCCGGAGTCCCCATTACTTTAGTTTCTTCTGAGTCATGATATCCATATAAATAAATAAGCAATTATGTTTTGAATTTAGGCCAAGGTAAATGAATACTGTTGATTTATGTGTAATTGTATAACACTATGCTTTAATTACATCTCTTCCAGTAAGGGCGGCTGTTTTAATATATTACATGTTATTTTCCCATCTGTGGGTATAAAAATGTGAATTACAATATCATAATTTATAGCTCATTTTGTCTCTGGGGTGTGAAAAAAAAATGGCCAATTTGCTGTACAATCTAAAATATTTTTATTAATGATTTACTCTGTAGTTTTATGAATTGCCAGTTTTACATTTTCATTTCTTTAAAATAAAATACTGTTGTGCAGGAGCTCTATAGACTCATTTTTTGTGTGTGGTTTTGTCAATTTGTATATTGAAGGTTTTCTCCTAAAATATCTTCATTAAAAGCTGATCTCATTTACAATTTCAGTTTGTTTTGTTTTTACTCATAATAAGAGTCATTGACTTACTTTCATATATTGATAGTAGTTGCTTTCTTACTATTTCCAGTCACCCATGGTTGTATTATTGCAACAGTTACTCTCTATACACCCGATGGTAAAGAAGCAAAAAGGTAAGCATCTTCTTTAACTAATGTGTGCCAAGATGTTATAAATAATTCTTATTCTTTTTCAATTTTGATTAACATGTTTACTGTAAGCTCTCAATAATTTCGCAAGAGACAAATGTGTCAGTGAAAATCAAATTTTGCTGCAGTGAGCATATGCTGTGGATCATTAACGTTATGAGCATGAAAGTCAAATTTGGTCATCTTTCACAAATAAAGTATACTCTTTTCCCTATTTATTCACAAATTTTGACCTATAGGTTTTCTAAATTCATATCCTTTTTGTCCAAAATTGTTAAAAAAGTAGTTACTGGTAATCAACTTATCTTTCTCCATGCCCTCCATTTTGTAAGTGCAAATATGATAGACCCCACCCCTGTACTTAATATTACTATTAAGTTTTTATTGTCAGAATTCTTGTACAGGTGTTTTAGGTGCATTTGTTAAATATTGTTTGAATTCTGAGAAACAACATTGTGATGATTGTTTTAATGACAACAAATATTATAAACAAGAAACTGGCACAAATTTGTACATCCTACAGAAGTAGGTGACTTTTCCCATGTGTTGAGATAGATAACAATATTTGTGTGTCAGTGTCTCTCCTCACGAATCATATTTTGGTTATCAATGGTACCCGTGGCTGGTTAGTCTATTGACTGCATGCTGTGATCACAAGTGCATATCATCACCTACATGTGTTCATTTGTAATACTGCCTCTATTAATGAGGTAAATAATCAGCTGAGGATCTTGTCGTTTTTACTTGTACGCATGGAGGTCATTATAGTGCCCTTCATAGTGTTATTTTTTGTTTATCTCTAGTTCAATGAATACTTTGATGCCATACAATAGTAGTAGCAATGTACAGTCTCAGGATCTCTATCAATTAAGTCATTATTTACAGGTAATGTGGATTATTAGTTGCCTTATCAATCTTACCTTTAGATGTTCTATAAAGTTTGCAAGTTGTACATTTATGTGTGTTTCAAATACCTACATGAATTTTTAATGCTATATCAACATTGATAAATAATACCAGTTTTGGTATTTGCTTCTTTATATCTCCTAAAGAAGTTGCTAAACATAACTATGTACAATCCTTAAAAGATTTGATTTTAAAATATAGCTAGGAATGGCCTAAACTTTGTGACATCACCGGATAATATTGAATATTTGATTTGGAATCTAGTCATCAACTATTATTCTTACTAAAATGAACTCCTCTATCTGTTTGACCTACAGGAAGCACTTCATAGGGAACAAATGTTAGAACAAAAATTAGCAGCATTACAAAGAATAGTTGCAAATACTCAGGAAGCTTCTGAAAATGGTTGGCAAGCTCTTATAGATGAAGATCGGTTATTATCTAGGTTGGAGGTGCTTGAGGCGCAGCTGCAATCGCTTTCAAAGGTGAGTGTGTTTATGTATTAAAACTGTCACTATTAGAATAACAACCTTAATTCTAATTATGTTTACAGAATTTATTTACCATGATCTGGTAAAATCATCTAAGGTCATGTTGCTGAGGTACATGTACCTGACTGAGGGCCAAATGCTATGAGCATAAGGTCTAAAGTTGTTTTCATGCTAGCAATGAATTCCAATTATTACTATATGTTGCCTAACAGACTTAACACATGGCCAATAACAGTACCAATATACTCAATATACTTTTTTGACAGTGATAAAAATGAGCCAAATATCTGGGAACACCCAATTGTTTATGATTACAAATGTAACAGTGCTGTCCACCAGAGAAGAAAATATTGTTAGGGACATTTTTAAATTGTCAAAAAAGCTTCAACAAACATGATTATTTCATTCATTAAGGAACGTCTTTTCCATAAACTTATTTACAGAGATTGTAGTGCAAAAGATTCATTGATGTATTTTAAAATAGTTTCCTCCATTTTCACTGCTGCGTATGATTCTTAGAAGTGCATGTTGGTGTTGTTTTTGACAAACTGTTTCGTAGTGCCAAATTGAAAATCTGAACATTTGTAAGCTTCTGTGGTGATTGTAGAATGTCCATTTAAAAAACTGTGATTTTAGGACTAACATGTTAAATTACTAACACTGTTATCGCTGTTCTGTTTTTGCAGGCCCAACCGGAAGACAGTATACGAAAAGAATTAGTAGCTCTCCAAGATGACAAACACAAGTATGAAACAACTGCCAAGGAATCGTTAAGACGGGTCTTACAAGAAAAATTAGAAGCTGTTAGAAAACTTTCAGATCTTGAGGTAATGGTAATGCTAAATAAGCTCAGTGCCATGTTATGTCAAAGTTGCTATGCATTTCTCACGAACACCACAAGGTCACTAACAACAAAATATTTATTGTATTTTGGCTCTATTTAATTGTTGATTATGCGAAAATATCACTTCCTCTTCAAACAGGCTACCTTTCTATCCAGGTATTAGTTGCACTGCAGGGTGTGGGTATAGAAAGTCACAGAAAACTGATCTTTGACTCACTAATACTTCCTTGCATTTACAAGTGTCCTATCCATTAGTCGTACCTGTTTCCTGTTTTCATAAACCTATTTCTTGTATGTATAATGCATGCTTGTATCATAGTATTGAGAAAAAAAAGAATTGCATTTTCAGAAATTGTCTATGATATCGTTACCTACCTTTATTTCTACCTAGAATTTATTTTGATTATTTGTGCTGGGAAAAATAAATGCATAATTTGTCAATTTACAATTCCTCTTATGATTTATATCACCGAACTGGTAATAACAAGTACAACAATACACTGAAATATTGAAATGAAATAAAGTCTTGTTATAAAATTAAAGTATTCTGCTATATAATGTTGACACTTAATTTAATCATTATTTTGTTTCAGAGGTTGTTTAGCAATACTGAAGATGAGCTTTCACATGTCAAGGAATCCTCAGATGACACACAAGAAGAACTTAATGCACTTTGTGAAAAACACAATAAAACAAAAACTGAAATGCAGGAAATGACGGCAGAGCTGGCTGAAATTAAACGGACTCATGAGGAGGAGGTTGAAAGTGTGAATGCTAATAAAAGGGAACTCCAGACTAAATTAGAACTTTCTGAAAAACGTGAAGAGGCGTTATCTGCACAGATAGAATCTTTGCAGGCTGATTCTGATTTTACTAAACAGCAGTTAGAAGCAATGAAAGGTAAGAAAAAGCACATGAACGAGACACTTTTTCAGTATGTGTAGTTGTTGTTAATTACAAGAAGAAGGAAGACAACAACATTTCTATTTCTGGTGAGAGAGGGTGAATTTATAAGTTTTGTATTTTTAACATTCAAAATATTTTGTCCCATTTCTGTATTGAATGATAATCAGGTAGTTGTCACATTTTTGATTTGAAACTCATCCAGTATTCTCCAAGTATTTGTACAAGAAAGTTGGATGCATTACATATCATCATTAGCCAATTTGCATATTGTTGCTACAATGATATGATATGATATGATATGATAAAATCACTGTACTTTAGAAGAGAACACATGAAAATAATTATACATGCTTTTTTTATTTCATCATCCTCTATATCATCTCACCAGCTTAGTACTCTACTGAGGTTATCGTGCCGGCATGAACCAGTATTCCATTTAGAGTTAAATAGTATGCCCAATACATCACTGAAAAATATTTTTGAATATTCTCCAACATGAATTCTCTTCTGACTACTGATTCTTTCAGTTGCAGCCAAAATAATTTTAATGTTGTGGAATGAGCCAAGTATACAGCTTGAGGGCGCCATTGCATCTGATTAGAAATGACGCTACAATATTGTCAGTAATGCCAGAATAATTTTATTTATTTGTTTAATGCACAGATTGGACAAACACACTTACAGATCTGCACTAAATGCTAATAAAAATATTACGATTAATATTGTGTTTTCAGTCTGTAAACAACCCCTGCAGTCTGAAATTCACCTGTTGTTATATATAACTTTTTTCATATTGAAAGCGACATAATCAAGAGATTTTTATATTCTAGCTCGTTTAGAGACCATACAAGCTCAGCAGCAGCATCTCCAAAAACAAGATACACCGCCATCAACAACAACAACAACAACATTAAAAGATTCACCACAAGGCCATGGTGATGCCCAAAATGATATCTTAGACAAAACAGACGGTGACGGACAAGAAGATGTAACAAGTATGTATAATCATTATGACCACCTGGTATAGCTTGGAATTTGGTAATGTGTGTTTTCAACACAACATTTTGATAATAGGGTGTCTGCACATTCTTTAATACTAGAAAGAATTCAGCTAAAATGCTTTCCATCCAGTGCTAAGGTTAATGCACACATAAACTGAAATTTGTTTGATTGGTGTTGGTGTGTTTACATACATGTAGTGTATAACGTTTTTATACCAGCCAATTCCACCTGCACTTTCAGGATTTTCATTATCTGCCATAGAGGGCGATATTCAGATTCTCTCTCATATTGCATTCTGGTATGTTTTAAAGTCACTTTCCAGGATTGAGTAATTTTGTGTTTTTGGCCATGTGCTCTTCACCAGAGAAGTTTCTGTTGGTTGGTAAACTTTGAACACATGTTTGTTATGGAATGGAGGACCAGCAAATCACTTTTTTCTTCTTTGATACATCATCATCACAATTGCATGTAGGGGAAGCCTAACAACTCAAAACTCATCTGTACTTTGTGATGTTTATTTGGTTTGTTTATTGTTTACAGTGCAAGTTTTAGAAGACGTCAACACAAGTGATGAACTTGTTGACACATCAGGCTCTTCCACTAGTCATAATACATCAACAGATTTACTTATGCAGTATAAAAGTGAGTAAACATTATTGCATATGATATGTCTTATCCACTTTTATTATAGGAGTGAAAATATCACATTACTGCAGTGTTCTAAATGAAAATACCAGTCATATAATTGGTGTTATATTTTCACTCCTTGGCTGGCACGACTTTTACAATTGTCATGGAAATAGAATAGCCGGATGTGTAAATAAACATAATTCATTTGAGACGTTTGCATAATTAGTTTCAATATATTTTAGTACAAAACTTGGGGCTGGTGTTTTGATTCTGCTGAAAAAAAAACAATATAGCCGAAGGAAAAGCAGATTATTGCAATTTAGCCAGTGGTTATGTTCCAAACTCAGGCAATGTCCCTTATCAGAAATAATATTACCCTGATGAGGAAACAATATTGTCCGCAAGTCACCATCAGTACTGTTAGCTTCATCACTCCTGGCTCTAGTGTCTACTTTTCCTCATCCAAATTTCATCGCTGTATCATATAATACCAAATCATTGTTCTCTGGGTTCACAATTAATGGTGGGTCATTAAAATCAACATTTCTATAAATTCAAAAAAAGAAGAAAGTTTGTACGTCCTTGGGTTATTTGTGACAATGATTCTGATTAAACACTAATGGCCTGATTTTGAAATAAAAATCTTAATAACCGATTGTTTATTCACAGAATACTATTTATTAGTCCCCTGTCAGGGACTTATAGATTGACCTCTGTGCATGTCTTCATCCGTCCATTTGTGTGTAGATTCCCACCTCTATCTCAGATATGCCACAATCAGATTTTGACATATGAGACAATCAGATTTTGTTCAAACTTGGTACATACATTGGACATAATGAGACCTTGATCATTATCATACATCATATTTTTTAACGAATGCTGTTCCAGAGCCATCTATAGCTGTTTTAGAGCCATGTCTTTGACATACGGTACATTGACTAATCGGAATCAGACAACTACATGACATGCATCCGTTTCCTAGATGTAGCCAGCCATACTTGATCTCAGTGTGTATGCTTTCTCTACACTTTGTTTGCAGCCACTATAGAGAACATGGAGAAGCAGTTACAAGAAAAACAAGACAAGTTAGATAATTTACAAGTACAACTTGAACAAGCTAGATTAGAAGCTATACAAAGCATTGCCCAGGTTTCATCACTAGAGGAACAGCTGTTTAATTCACAGGACATAGAAGATAGTAAATTGGACAAAGCACTTACACAACTCACCTGTAAGTTAAGAACATCATTGCGATGTTGAAAAAAATGGATTATTCAGATTATATGTGCATCTAAGTGCATACGTACATCTAAGTGCATACTATATACGTGCATTTAAGTGCATACTACATACATACATCTAAGTGCATACTACATGTGTGCATCTAAGTGCATACTACATACATGCATCTAAGTGCATACTACATACATGCATCTAATTGCATACTACATGTGTGCATCTAAGTGCATACTACATACATGCATCTAAGTGCATACTACATGCGTGCATCTAAGTGCATACTACATACATGCATCTAAGTGCATACTACATACATGCATCTAATTGCATACTACATGTGTGCATCTAAGTGCATACTACATACATGCATCTAAGTGCATACTACATACATGCATCTAATTGCATACTACATGTGTGCATCTAAGTGCATACTACATACATGCATCTAAGTGCATACTACATACGTGCATCTAAGTGCATACTACATACATGCATCTAAGTGCATACTCCATACGTGCATCTAAGTGCATACTACATACGTGCATCTAAGTGCATACTACATACATGCATCTAAGTGCATACTACATATGTGCATCTAAGTGCATACTACATATGTGCATCTAAGTGCATACTACATACATACATCTAAGTGCATACTACATACGTACACCTAAGTGCATACTACATACATGTATCTAAGTGCATACTACATATGTGCATCTAAGTGCATACTACACATGTGCATCTAAGTGCATACTACACATGTGCATCTAAGTGCATACTACACATGTGCATCTAAGTGCATACTACATATGTGCATCTAAGTGCATACTACACATGTGCATCTAAGTGCATACTACACATGTGCATCTAAGTGCATACTACATATGTGCATCTAAGTGCATACTACATATGTGCATCTAAGTGCATACTACACATGTGCATCTAAGTGCATACTACACATGTGCATCTAAGTGCATACTACACATGTGCATCTAAGTGCATACTACATATGTGCATCTAAGTGCATACTACATATGTGCATCTAAGTGCATACTGCATACGTGCATCTAAGTGCATACTGCATACGTACACCTAAGTGCATTCTACATACGTGTATCTATGTTTATCTAAGTGCATACAACATATGTGCATCTAAGTGCATACTACATACGTGCATCTAAGTGCATACTACATACGTACATCTAAGTGCATACTACATACGTGCATCTAAGTGCATACTACATACATGCATCTAAGTACATACTACATACGTGCATCTAAGTGCATACTACTCAATTTGGTATATGAAACCCAGGTAAGCAAAGTGGTCTAAAACTTTCTCACTATGATCACCATCGTGGCATATTCATTGCTTAATTGGAACATGCATTTACTAATAAAGTAGGAGAATACCTCTGATAACTGAAAATTGGAGGATGTCGTAACTTGTGGAGAAAAACTGACAGAGGTATAATAATATGTATTTCACAGCCCGTCTTGAAGAAGCAAAAAGGCAGAATGAAAGAAGTGATGAACTGATCAGATCATTACAGGGTAAGATTCCCATTTATCACAAGTTTATACACTGATATATAGTAATAGTTGCCGTTTCAGTATCCTCATTGTCAGGATTTCAGTATCCTCATTGTCAGGATGTCAGTATTCTCATTGTCAGGATTTCAGTATTCTCATTGTCAGGATTTCAGTATCCTCATTGTCAGGATTTCAGTATCCTCATTGTCAGGATTTCAGTATCCTCATTGTCAGGATTTCAGTATCATTGTCAGGATTTCAGTATCCTCATTGTCAGGATTTCAGTATCCTCATTGTCAGGATTTCAGTATCCTCATTGTCAGGATTTCAGTATATGGTGCTACCAACCAAACTACAAACCAACAGCCTATCAATCATGTATTATTGCAGAACAAGTTACACGTCAGTTAGACGAAAGTACAGACACCGTGATGAATGATGATGATGGACTTAGACCAGAGGACTCTTTCTTACTTACAAAACTCCCGGATCAATTGGGAAATTTACATAATCATATAGGCAACAGCAAAGGTAGATATACTACTGTGTACTCAATTTTATATTTTGAAATTAACACCAACTTTCTCACCAACACAGGGGAACTTATTCACTTCTCTGCAATTTATACACAGTTTTGGTTTTCACATTCCTGTTTTATTTATATTTACATATAAAACCATATAATTGTTAGTTCTTGATGTTTGAGTTTATAAAATTCATATTACTGTAAAATCTGTATTAGAAACCGCGGCTTCTATTAAAATGGTACAATGCAATAGAGGGGATGCGGCTTCTATTAGAGCATCTACACATATGACAAATGATGATTTTTTGGTTCTCAATTATTCAAAAAGAATGGGTGCGACTTCTATTAGGGATGCGGCTTCTAATACATATTTTACGGTAGTACTGTAATTATTATTCCCACTGATCAACTCCAGCAATGCATGCTACCAAAATAATAACAAAAGCATGTCTAATTTGCAAACAGACATTTAAATCAATTCCCCATAAACCAATGTACCATTTTACATATACAGTGCTTTAGTAACGTACATTGCTTTTATTCCTGTACCACTGTGCATTTACATGTGATATAATTATTATTATGATCGTCTTTTTTTCATTTTGCCATAAATATATGTACAAATGAGGTTTGAACTGAATTCTTAATTAAGTAAAATAAAGTGTACTGTCACAAAAATGTTTTGAGAAACAAATTTGTCTATTATTACATTTAACCGCAGATTACTTGGTTATTTGCAATGAAAAAAACATTGGTATTGACCAACACTTATGCAAATGATAGTCTTATTCTAAAATTCCATGGCACTCCATAATTTGTTGTAAATCGTTGTGGTTGTACTGGTATATTTAAATAATAAGACGTCTATATAGTGCAAACAAGAGTATCAAATAACAATGCAAATTTGTTACATGTTTCATGACAAATTCTGCAAATGAATATCAGATCACCCAGACTACTTTGCTATTTGTAAACATTGCTGTCCAAATTTTATTGTAAAAAAGTCAATGAAAGAAAACACTGAAGAAAACTTTTACAACTGGCAACATTGTACCTATGTTTAATACTTGAGTAGTAAGTTCTGCTATGGGACGGCATGGAAACAACTAGTGAACAAATTACTTGCAGAAGCATTGTAATCTGCAGTGAATAATTTGCTATTGTCACCACAGCTGACATCAGCGCCCTTATGCCAACCTAGAAAAATCAGGACACCACAGCAAAAATAATGTCTGAAGTGGCATTTTTTGAGAAGTGGCTTAACACGATTGTAGAAGTGCACTGTATATTACCCAAATATACCACCACCAAAACTTTATTCAATGCTTGCCCGAGTGTACACCAGGAAAACGGCAATGAATAAAAGCTCCATTATAACAACTTTTGGATCAGCATATTTCAAGAAGCTCTTGCAGCCATGAGCAACTTGCCCAAGAAAGCAAACACGATGACAGAAGGTCACAAAACAACAATACGAAAAGCTTGTCAACTTGGTATACATTCACCAAAGGCAATCCTGAACACTGTATGGCTAAATAATACCACGGTTTTCGGTAATTAGAATCAGCAGATGAAAATATGTTATATCAACTTATTCAGTAATGACAGGGATGAATATCTAATGTACAATGAACGACTTTCCAAGACAAGACAAGTGAAAGCAAAGCCTACTTGAAACTACGAAACCGTTACCTGTCCTGTCCTGTCGTCGTACAAAGCATTTGCTGAATGATGCATATTATACAATCAACAACAAATCTCAAGAAAGACAAGATGTCAGCAAATTATCAATAGGTCTAGAAATTATTATTTGATCTGTTTAATGGGTAGTAAATTCGTTCTATGTCTTATAAGTATGCATTGGCCACAAAAGTGTTGTTGAATGTATGTAATAATAATAGAACACAATGGCCTTCTGATGTTTGTGGGATATGGAAGTTATTTCCATAGTCTTTTTTATGCTGTATTTTTACTTAATTTGCTTGTGAAAATAGTCACAGAATACATCACATCACATCACTCTTGGATAAAATTTGCATTCCTCACAACTGTCATGACTGCATATTATGTTTTCACGCTGGTGTTATGCTGAAATTACTTATTACGCAGTCCGAAAACAGGGACTTGTATTTTGACCTTTGTGCATACATGCGTCTTAGATATGCCTGGATCAATCACAATTAAACTTCACACATGCATCATATATGACATTATACATATGCACATCAATTTGTTTCAGATCTGATTCAAGATGGCCGAATGGCGGCCATTTTGTACTAAAAAATCATCAAAATCGAGCATTTCTCGGCTCTTTACAGATAGATTTTGTTCAAACTTAGTACATACGTTGGTCATTATGGGATCTTGATGCATGTCATTTGGTTTTTCAGATACCAGTAAGATTCAAAATGGCCCACTGGCAGTCATTATGTTTTAATGAATGCAGTTCTAGTGCCATATCTCTGCCATGCTTTGACTGATTATGTTCAAATTTTCTATATTTATTATACATCATGACATAGATATATTGGTCTGGCTATCTGATTCAAAGTGGCCAAATGGCAGCCGTTTTTGTGCTAAAAATCGTCTAAAATTAAGAATTTCTGGCATTCTAGAACTTGATCTTGGCGTTTATGGATTGATTTTGTTCAAACTTGGTACATACATTAGAGATTATGGGTTCCCGATGCACGTCATTTAATTTTTCAGATCAGCTTCAAAATGGCTGACTTTGTTTAAATGATGCGCTTCTAGAGCCATATCTCTGATATGCTTTGACTGATTATGTTCCAATTTTATATATTCATTTTACATTATGTTATAGATAAATAGATGTATTCAAAATGGCCGACTGGTGGCCATTTTGTTTTAATTAATGCTATTCCAAGATGTCAATCATTTTAATCAAGCATCATTTTTTTGATCCATACTTCTGAAATGTTTATGTTCCTACTAGAAAAAACTGTATATCTTAAATTTGAGAACTAACTGTGCCATGCATGGCTTGTTTTATCTAGTTTATTTCTAGAATTCTTGCTAAGGCTTACACCAATTTATTAATATGAAGATTTTAAAAAAATTCATTTACTGTAACCTGCTCAGTGGATGCTAAAATTAAAAATTTGTTCAAACTGTCCAACTTTTATCTTTCCTTGTTTTTTTGTGTTTTTTACATCTTTCTGTTCTATTCCGTGTATTGTATTTATGTGTAGTATTATTGTGGTACAATAAACTGTATGGACTGGAAGATTTCCAAGCTTGGTCTCAAAAAACAAATATTAACATTTCCCTTATACTTTAAAGTGCTCTTTGTTTTAGTTTTTATTTAAATACAATGACAGTTAAAATGTTGTTTGTTGCATTTTGGAAATAAGTTTATTTTTATATTTTCTGCTTGTGATTTTCTTTTTGATTGTCATCTTTTTGTGAAATGTTATGCTGTTCTTTAGCTTTAGAGTTTGAAAACCATAATTTGTATAATTACTAAATCTCTACGCAGTAGAATAAACTTCGCATATCAATGTGACCACAATTGGCCAATGGCAAACATGATAACCTTTGTAAATAGATGCTAATGTTCCAACCAGGAAATCAGCTTGTCGTGTGATTATGCCTGACCTGACCAATAAAAAACTTGCCATAATGGTCAGATTCTCACAGCTTTTTGACACCAAAATACCTAAATACCTTATAAACTTAGAAGAGTTTCCAGATCAGGCAATTTTGTAGTGAAAAGAAGTGAATGTTGGCTTCAATCCAACCTTCACAGTGCTAGTGTAAAATATTTGGTCTGGGCAAATATCTACATATTTCATGTTTATATGATCTAATGGCAACTTGGTTATGCCTGTAAGTAAATGAACGATAGTACTTTTTTAGTAGTTACACAGTGGTCTATTTGATTATTTTTAGATACATTGAGTAATACAGCTGAAAAATCACTTTCAATGTCTGGTAAGTCATGCTATTTTTATCATAATAGTATATTTTGACAGTCACTACTTTTATGTTTGCATCCAACGTAATTTCTCTGACTTTTCTGTAATCTGTGATGTTCCAAATTACTACACAGTCAAGAAATAATAGTATACATAGTATACATAATATGCTAATTTATTTCAACTGACAAACAGATATATTTATTTATGTAGAAAACATGTACCTTTATCTAATAAATGTTGGCCTACTAATTATTGTGAATAATTATCTGTGTGCGTTTGGTTACTTTTTAGTATTTGCTTCATTAAAAGCACATCAGAGGTTTATATGACCAAAAATTGCCTGTGATGTGAATAGGAATGTTTTGTAGTGGTATGGTACTGTTAATTGACCATTTCAATGTGACTGATCTATTTATTAGGTACACAACATGATGGTGTATTGGAAGATTCAGGCAATGACTCTCAGGAACTAACAAGTCTACAAGGTAGAAGGCAACTCACTAATATTATATTATAATGCAACATTTGGGGGAATGAAGTAAATGTAGGAAAGTGGTAGTGGTAAAGCAGTTCATTAATTAATGTGCCTTAATTTGCAAATATTGCAATTTTCTGACATATTACCTACTATTTATCAGATTTTTAATTAAACTCATTGCAAATATATTTAATGGCAACATTGCAAGTTTATTATCATTTCTATTATTATACATGGCTTGGAATGGAATGTTGGTGAACCATTGACCTATGTAAATCAACCTTGGGACTTGATTAAAGTGTAACTCATCCATAATAGAATAATTAATTTGAATCTATTTATACAAATCATTGGAATGGCAGTGATATGGAGAATTTGATCAAGGGAGCCCTCTTTTGACAGTATTTTGTAATTGCCATTGAAGAGCATTCATCAGCATAATTGTTTTATTCCTTGAATTCGTTAGAAATGTAACAATTGTGTCTTGATGTTATTATATGAAATCATGAAGTGTATATCAGGAAAATATTATCAACTTGCTGTCAAAAGTTTATAATATATCTCCTTATAAGGACATTAATTGTAAATATATCATATCAACTAATTGATTTCTTTACTAGCTGTAATATAATCAACTATGTGCATAGTTGTAAACAGAAATGTGTACTGCCATTGTTTGTTTGATTAATACCAATTTGGGAGAACAAACATTAACAAATCTTAATTGTTAAATTTCTGGCTTTTATCAAAATACTGGAATTTGTCAGAAAATATGCTTTTATTCTTTTAGTTTCTATAATATTTTAGTTTTCCTGTCATAAATCATAATACACTTGTTCTAACACCTGCGGAGTTCAGGGAAAAGTTGAATTATATCTGAAATTTGATTATTAGATTTAATTAATAATAATTAATTGTCTATAGCTAGAGACGGAAAGTAAAATGCAGTTGTGTGGTGATGAGAATAACATTGTGATTAACTGTGTTGTTTAGATTGCCCAAGAATTATGGACATTGTGGGCTTTGGATGTTAGTTAGGTTTGAATTTGTCATCGCATCATATTTTACATTTACTGGAATATATTTGACATGAAATGATTATTCATATTATGGATAAGTAATTGGAATCTTTTAATGCAGTATATTGAGAAATTAATTTTATTAATACTATGCATTTCAAAAGTATTTTGTTTACCCACACTGAGGGTGATATAATAAGTGAATCAGTGTCTGTGGAATGCCAGTATGAAATTGAATACGTATTGTGTTATGTTACAACTATGTGGCGGTTGACGTTAACATGTTTAGCAAGTGACGTAAATCTCTCCACGTTGCAGCACTCCTGTCTCAGAGCTCAGCCAAACTGAAAATGACTGAAGAGGAACTTCACAAACTAAAAAGTGAGTCAAAAATTGTTTTAGTGCTCATTATATGAACTTTATTTTATTTTTGGTTATCAATATTTCTCTGGTTTTGATTATATTTGTAATGTGTACAATATTTTCTCTTGTATATATAATCTTGTTTACACTTCTGTAGAGAAAATATGGTACTCTGTTGGTTGTCTCAGCTTACATAGCTCCATAGTGTGCGCATTGTAATGTTATGTAATATGATATTAAGTCACATTGCTCCCTTGCTTGGCATATGAAAAGTTGCATTCAATTGTAGGTGTTTTGCGGTCGATCACTGTCTTTTTTTTTTTAAATCTGTAAATAGATGTTATTTTGGGGGGGTTTATGTCAGCATTTCTTGTATTGTAAAGAGTATTGACATACTTATATTTATGTTTATCACATGACTGTCTTATGCTGGCTTACATATTTATTTCTGTTGTTATTAATTGTTACTACTGTCAATACTATCTTATCACTGCCTTAATTTAGCTTGTGCAGTCTTGTAGTGTGTTCATATCTGTTTTTTGTCTCTTTACGTTGATGTTAAAGAGAAATTGATGGTGAACCCTTTGTGCTGGCATAAAGAGGCTTAAAAATCGTGGTGTTTAAATTACCTTGGAGGGGTGAAACTATTAATTATGTAATACTTAGTTTAGGAATATATACATTGCTCTGTTGCTTTATTCAAACATATTTATTATGTGTAATATTTTATTATTAATATGGCTGAAAGTTGTCAACTATTGATTTTTGATTGCACTGAAAATAAAAAAAATTACACAAAAAACAAAATATATGGTGAAACAAAAACCAGCAATAATTATGCATATTATCCTCTGGCCACCATATTTATGCTCCTTGTAAAAAAACGTCAATGTGAATGAATATTATGAGTTCCTTATCTTTTTAATTACTGGGTGCAACATACACAGGCATAACCTTTTCTGGAGAAAACATAGAATTTACTGGCTTAATATGCATATGCTCTGATTAATAATATAATTTTGTTTGCTTTAAATTTCAACAATACCAATACTTATATATTCAGTAGGTGAAACACAAGTTATATGTGTGCATAAATTGGAGATTCTAATAGAGCTAATATGGTAAATAAACAGTTAATAAAATAGATAACTAAAATGGGTTATCTCCAATTATGGCAGTAAACAACTGCTGTATCTCAGATTCATTATCTATTAGAAATTATTATGTGTCTGACATATTGTCTCTTGTGGGTGTATCACCGTGTATGGTCTACAGTGGATCAGGTGGAACAGGTTTACTGTATAATCCATTCTATTTTAATCAGAGGGGTTTTTTACTCATCAACATATGGTGTTTATATACCGTACATTGTAGCTTTAGTCTAGATAGTAGAATAGTGTACTACCGACATTGACTACTGTAAAAACTCTATTAATTAGCAGTTAACAAAAATTGTTTTTTTTGTTGTTTTTTTAAAAATGGAAATTATTTTTTTCTTGTTCACAAATTAATAGGATAATTTTTTTTTGGTAGAAAATAGATACAGATGGATGTAAGATTCACATTCAAACTTCACACATACAGTATTCATCTTGGGAGACATGTGAATGTCCATTCACTTCATGATCCTAGTCAAGATTACCATTTTGTGCTTAAAATTCATAATCAGGCATTTTTGACATTTATTTATTATGTGTTTTATTCTTAAAACTTACCATGTAATAATTTTAAAATAGGAAGTTCAAGTTCAGTTGTAAGTTAATGGCATACTTTTACTTGAAGTTATGGGTATTTAAAATTATAGGGCTGAAGTGACATGCTGTTCAAGTTTCAAATTACTTCTTAACTCAAAGAATCCTAGTATTTTTGATTGATGTATATATAGAGGTTTTATTTGCAATCAAACTATTCACTGACATTTCTGGTCTTTTTCTTTCTGTCCTAGTTTGAAGCGACAGGTGACTATAAATTCCACCCTTCCCCTATATTATCATTGTTAACAATAGCTCCTTCAGCTCTATTGTTATTCTCTTGAGTTAGCTATTGTTATACAGGAAATTACATAACATTGTCAATGGTTTGACAATGTGCAGGACAGCCATACATGAAGACAGTGGCAGCTGGTGGCAATTGATTTAAAGCAAGACCTTATTAATTGCACATCAAATGATTGTTAATTGATGCATGGAATTGCACATTGGGATGATTTCAGTAATATAACTTGTTCTGGTGCCGGGTGCATTTTACATGGTTTGGGAGGTCATGTGTGCTTTGAGTTCTGTACCATGTATGTTTGATGACATTATTA